GCGTGAATATAATAGTTTATAATATACCTTTATAATAATTATAGTGACGTAAGCCTAAAGGACATATCACGTGACTGACACCTCATGTGATTTCGCGCAAGCCGCGGGTAATCTAAGTGTCACTCACTCACTCCCCACCAACATCAACTACCATCTAGCAAGGGATCTTTAACGTGTGCAACTTGCAGAATTTTCGCCCATGTCCAAGAAGGTGTAGATATTTCCTACCAGAAGATCAAGGCTCTCTCTCTCTCTCTCTCTGTTTCATTTGTAGCACTGTGTGTTCAGTAACCTCGCTGCCGTTGGTATGAATGAATTTCTATATGTCTGTTCTTGCTTTTTTGGAAATGTATCGTTTACTGTGGGTTGATAATGGAAATTCCAATGTCAGTGGGTGGCTGTGGTCATTTGGCATTATTTTCGCCTTTTTAAAGAATGTTTTGTGCAGATATTCAAAGTTACTAGGTCTCTACTCTATCAATTATTCTTGATACCTTTCTGATCAACTTGTTTATTTTTTATGATGAACTGCCTTCCCAAATTGCTACCATATAAATGATAATTTATCAAAGTATCTATTGCGGTGGAGTAGAATGTCTGAAGGATGGATAGATTCAGATTGAAAGACCTAATTTTCCTCAGAAAGTACAGCCTCCGATTTAACCACAAGGCCACCGGCGCCAAAGTTCATGAAGACAAGCCAAAGCTAAGGTAAAGGTGGAACACTAAAGAAAAAAGTACATGTACTCAGACAATGGCTGCAAAATCAAAAGACATGCATACCTGTATGAATAAAAAAGACTCTTCATACTAATAATGAAAAAGCATTGTGTTATAAAAGAAGACAATGATAACTTGTTTGAGTAAAAAGTAAAAGTAAATTGTTCCCGCATCCGATCCGGACATGATACGGGATTGCCTTGTTAGTGAGACAACTTCCTGGGCCTTCGGCTTTTTGTGGTAGGGTGGTCAGTTCCTTTCTACGCTGCCTTGACTTCCTCAACTCGAAGTCAGGTACCTATTACTGGTGGGTGGGCAGGAGGGTAAAAAAAAAATCTGTGTTAGAACCAAGGCTAGAACCCAGACTTTCTGCTTCAGAGACGAGCACTCTATCTGCTCCGCCACCGAACCCTTGTTTTTTTTTTTTTTTTTTGGGGGGGGGGGGGGGGGGTTGGTACACATCAAACATTTTCAATTGGTAGGAAATTTTGAATTTTGCCCGCGTAGCGGCCGAAGTACGAGTACGTAGTCTAAACAGCCGTATGCACTGCTCACAGCCGAACGCTCTGTATCCCGGACTCTAGCTTGGAGATCATCAGGAGAGAATGGTTAGCTGTTTCGGGCTCTTCCTCTCTACAGCTTTTCTGACTCACCGAGCCCCCTCACCGATGAGGTCTCCATGTTGGTTCGACTGTTTTCCTCTGCTGCCAACTCTCAGGACTCATTCCAGCCTGCGTCCTCTCGCTTCAACCAGATCCAGTGACTGGCTTTCTCTGCTGTCTCCTGAAGGGAGTTTGTGAGTTCGTCGCTTTTCTTTGCAGTAAGTCCTGCCACTCTCATCCACTTATGGGCGCTTGTTGCTACGAAACCTCTGCATCCTACCTTAACCGGAAAATGGGTTGCTTTCCATCCTGACTCCTCACATTGTTCGACGAGTGCCTCGTAACGGTTTTCTTTCCGCTTATGTGCGGTATAGATATTGTGCCCGTGGGGCACCGTGAGCTCTACCAAGTGCACCTCTTTATCTTTTTCCACCCATAACACCAAGTCTGGCTTTTTCGTAGTTGGGATGGGGGAGAATCTCTCAAAGCCCTTTAAGTCAGCGACTACCTCCCATGTGCCTCCGCTCTGGTCTTCCATGGCTTCGTTCGCTTTCTTTCCTTAGGTAACCTTGCTTCCTTGCGGAACGAACGCAACCTTGGTGAGTCCATGCTTCTGTATTCTCCTTCTTCCACCTGTTTTGTCGCCATTGTGGTGAGCACTTTCAGCACCTCATTGTGCCTCCAGGTGTATTATGTTAAGAGCCAGGTTGCAGTTTGACAAAATATGCTTCATGGTTCCTAGCTTACCGCATCTACACTTGTTGTCCTCCTGTACCTTCCATCTGACAAAGTTCACCGGTGAAGGCAAAACATCATACGTAGACCGGAGAAGAAATCTTATCCTAGATGTGTTCCACTTCTAGATGTCACTCCTACCGACTTTTCTTTCGACTACATGCTCTTCCCATATCTGGTCATTTGTCCTTGCTGGCTACCCTGGATGAGATGATCTCGTTTCTCTGCCTCCATCTTTTGCATATGTCTTGTTGCAGCTTTTCTTCTGTCTCGCTGAGATATTTTCCTGAAAGGTGACCATTACCTAGCCCTAATCTGTCAGGTTTCGCTGGACCGACAATGTCGCCAAGCTCCAATGCAGAGATGATCTCGTCAGCTGCAACGTCTGCCTTCTACTTTCTGGCTGTTTTGACACCTGGAGGTTTTCCACTGATCTCCTTATCCCTTGATTCTCTCTACATCATAACGGTTCTAATCTTGCCTGCTTTGTAGATCTCCACGATTGACGTGAGAGGTAGTTGAAGCGCACCTCTATGTCTGTACAGGGATGACGTGTTAATTGTACAGGGTAGGCCCAGCCACTTCCTGATGTAGCTGTTACACTTTCTTTCAATCATAGTCTACTCTTATCGATTTTGGACCACCAAGGGATCTTTAACGTGTGCAACTTGCAGAATTTTCGCCCATGTCCAAGAAGGTGTAGATATTTCCTACCAGAAGATCAAGGGTGTGGCTGAAAGATAGCAGTAAGAGGGAGCGAATTTAAGGAGTAGCAGTGGAGGCTGCAGAAAGAGTCAGGAGCCCAGTGGAGGGGGGCAAATGAGGTGAGGGGGTGGGGGAAGAAAATGGAGACGAAGGCAGACGACAGAACATCGCAAGAGAGAAGGAAAGAAGGTGAAAGGAGACAATTTTAGAGAAGAAAAAAGAAAATTTTTCTGTCGCTACCCGAATTCGAACCCGAGACCTTTGAAAGAGAGGCTAACACCATAACATTTAACCTCTAGGCCACGAGAGCCCCCGCACCCTTGTTTGAGTAAAGAGATGTAATCAGCACAAAAAATGTCATTTGTAGCTCTTGGGAAAAAGTAGGACAGATTGAAACTGAAACAATGAAAGGAAAGAAAAAAGTAGGACTGACATCAGTTACCTTCCAACCAGCAATGAATGAATGAAGACAATGCAAACTTGACAAGAGTAAGTTATTGGAGTTTATTTATCAAATCTATTCCCTTTCCATCTCTGGATCCATGACAGGGCTTGTGGCTTACCCTTACCGAGATTCAAACAAAAGATTATGTTAAAGAAAAGCCACTTCAATAACAACAAAACAAATATTTTTTAAAGTTTTAGTAGAGGTTTTACGGCGCTCGCAACTGCATAAGGTCATATGAGCGCCAGAAGAATAGAGGTGTTACAAGAGAGTAATAAACATAAAAAAGAAGAAGGGGAGATAAGGATGATAGATGTTTGATAGGAAAGAAGAAGCAAACCACACCAGAGCACCCGCCAACCACCCACACAAATATTTACATGGAGTAGGTTACAAAGATAATTCTAAAGGAAGAAAAAAACCAACCCAGTAACACTCCCTGGTACTTCAGTCTCTTTCAACTTCAGAGCTTTATATCCAAATGAAGTCAAGAACTATTTTACATTTTTTGGGAAGTTTACATATATTTTGATGTGGATACATTTATTCTATGAAAAGACAACAGAAAAACATTTTTTTCTGCACATCAGACAAAGCTAGTTCAAGCATCTTATCATTGATAGACTTGACTTGGAGCAAGATGGCAGACAGAAGTCAGGGAAAGAAGGACAGAAATAAAGATTTACAAACCACAAGAAATAAGCATTACGATGCACAAACGAAAAATATTGGAGTCAAAGTAGAGGCAAAAATACACAAGCCATAGAACTAAATGCAAGAGTCTAGAATTTATTCTTTAACTTAAACTATTTCTGGGATATCCACATCTTAGCAACATAACAAGTCATATTTTCCCCTTCAATCCCAGGTGATATTTATCCATACTGAATGTAATTGCAGTCTTTGTTCAAATTATGCAACGTAGCTGATTCAAGTAGGCCTACATGTACATAGGTATCATACATTTGCAAGGCTTTCAATCTATGTAAACAGTAAACTATTGTAAATGTTTTTCATAACTTATGACGCAATATTTAAAGCATTCTTACTTTGTAGAGTAAAAGTAAATACACATACAGGTTGTCTTTAAAAAAGGACCTATTTAAAGGGCAATCAATTTCAGCAAAACTTGGATCACATGAAATTCAACCAAGGGGGTGTCAAATATTTAAATCAGGCCTGGTTAAGGCAAGATGTGGTCACATCCGACACATTAAGAGAGGTCTTTGCATGGTTTCAAGAAAGGTTTGGGAAATGTTTAATAAGCTGAAAGCTAACAAATGAATGGTCACCGTATTCCCCTGACTTGAACCCCGTTGGTTATTTCCTGTGGTGTAAGCGCACCTTTAGAATAGGACATGTAGCGTGAATATAATAGTTTATAATATACCTTTATAATAATTATAGTGACGTAAGCCTAAAGGACATATCACGTGACTGACACCTCATGTGATTTCGTGCAAGCCGCGGGTAATCTAAGTGTCACTCACTCACTCCCCACCAACATCAACTACCATCTAGATCTACTATTGCAAGACTCAAGTAAGTCGTAACATAACATTTCCTTTGACGTTTTTTTTTAGACAGAGTCTACAGAAACAACCCACAAACAAATGAACAGTTGAAACTCACTGTTGAACAGGAGGCCCTAAAAATTGACACAGAAACATGCCACAGGGTTAACCAAAATTTCCAGAGGCGTATTCCAGCTTGTATGGATAGAAACAGTCAACACCTGGAGCATATTATAATTTGATTAGTCAATCCATTTTCCTGAGTTTATTGGGCAATAGGCCTATAATGCATTTTACTCAATTTTGGTTGAAATCTTTTTCAAACGTCACATTTTCACGAACATATACTTTGACATTTTTTGGGTTCAAGAACTTGACGTCCCATAGGTTAAATTTTATTTGTTTCTAGTCCCCCTTTTTTTCTTCAGCCACGTGGTAGTATCACACCATTAGATCTAATTAATTCTACTTTTTATAATAGATAATACTCCAAGGGGAAAAAAAAAAGGACAAATATACAGTTCAGTTTAGCTCAAAACGCAATCACCTTGTACCAGTCTTTAGACTTGATTGAACAGGCTCTACTCTCCTGGAATAGTAGGGAATCACCTGTTCTATCTTAGCTGCTGTAAAACTGTGAAACCCACCACCACCTCATCGAATGCCCTCTCTTGTTGATCTACACAAAAATGACAATGACAATGACAATTTTTATTCATCTCCCAGGGAGAGAATTTTGGCTTGGTTGTATATAATGGCAGTGGTTTTACAAAGGTCAAGTGCACTCATGCGCACGCACCCAATATGAAAGAATGTATAACACGCTGAAACACCCTTGTTCTGTAAACATTCTCTCTCTCTCTCTCTCTCTCTCTCTCTCTCTCTCTCTCCCCCCTCTCTGTTTCATTTGTAACACTGTGTTCAGTAACTTCAGTGTAGTGGGTAAGAATAAATTTTTATACACATATATGATGATATTTGTCTATTTCTGCTTTGTTGAAAATAAGTCATTTACTGCAAGTCGATGGTTTATGGGAAAAAAACCCCAGATGGGACAAATGCTTCGTACTCATATGCACATCAGCTTTGGAAGACATGAACATTGTATGCCCTGGTTTCACACGATCTACTGAGACAGCAAGATCGAAAAAAATAAAGCAAGCAACAGTTTCTCTTTCAACAGTCAACCTCATCTAGCTTCACATTTCCAATGTAGGCCTAAATGTTATCCTGACGACAATCCTGATTCAGCATTTGCCATGCTGCACGTTCACTGTCACTCAATAAACAACAACTATATCGTGTACTATTCTTGTCACAATGAATGTCATTTTGAAAACATGACTGCCAAACCTGACAGCATTATGATGAATGCAATGAACAGGGAAGAAAGGTACACAGGGATCATTTCAGATACGAGATAAATAGATTCAAGGACCCTCAGGTTTTCACAGATCAAGCCTCCAAAGACAGAAGAGCATTACAAGAAATCAACACATATAGTAATCATAATACCAACATTTCTTGACAAAGTTTCATTCAGTCACAAAGGGTCCAGAGCAAGAGTTTGTTCTGCCAGCAAAAAGTCTTCATCCTCATCACTCCAATCCAATGAACTTGCTTCACATTTTTGCTGTTTAGAAGGTGGTGAGCTCCAGAGAAAATTGGTGATGTCCGTCTGTCTCTTTGACGGAGTCGTACTTTGTTTCTTCTTTGATGGCTCTAATAGCTCACTTTGACTGTTTGAGAACTCCTGGTGGTCACTTTTAGATGGTGTCTTTTCAAACTGTTTTTTCAAAGCACTATGGTCAACATTTGACTGCCCAGCAAGTTTCTCTTCTGATGTTGTTGATCATTCATGAGGAAAAGGAATGAGAAGTCAATGAAAAGGTCTGACAATCAAGCATTTCTAGCTTTTTCTTGATAAAAGGACAGCACTCAGACAAACATATCTAAATACTGTCTGAACCTTGGTTCTCTGACACTGCAACTGGTAATTGTGCTGCTTCTATAATAATCAATTAATCAATGATTGGATGCTTTACTGTGCTTTACCTTTGCAACTACTGTTATTTCCCTTCCTCCTACAACTGGGGTCACCTCAGCCACTGCCACAACTACTACTATTTTTTTACTACTCTACTACTGCACCACCACCCACACTCCCAACCCCCCCCCAAAACCCCCCCCCCCAAAAAACCCCCCCCACAAAACAATAAAAAAAAACCCCCACTAGTCAAGCAAGAGCAATTTTTAACTGACAGGTATTTCAAATTTAAGATTTGACCAGAAAATTACACCAGTATCTCATGGCATAGAATTAAACTCTTATACCAAGCGAGGTTATGGGAAAAAAATAATAAATAAAGGCTTTCATTTTTACACAATAGAAGCTGATCAACCCTGATCACATTCATAAAACAAGCTGTAAAGGCTTTCATTTCTACACAATAGAATCTGATCAACCCTGATCAAATTAATAAAATAAGCTGAGGTCTACAAAAAAAAAAAATTTTTTAAATTGAACTACAAGTCCTTTCCAACAAACAATTAAATAAAAAACAGAAACAGCTATGAGGAGAATATAACTACAGTAAAGCACCGATATAATGACATCGATAGGATGTGCAAATCTTTTTGTTATATACGAATTTCACTATGTACATGTTTTAAATACAAACAATATACACATGTATAAGAACCCCCCCCCCCCCCCCCCCCCCCCGGAACCTAAAAATCTGTTGCTATGAGCATGTCTCATTATGTGCGTGCTAGACTGTAGTAGATAAATTCATGGACCAGCATTGCCAAATCTGTCTGAAAGGGGAGATGTTCCTCAACCTGAAGGATAATATTTACTACCAATACAGCACACAAAAAGCAGCTTGTGCACTGTAAACAACCATACTGCCATATATGAGTAGGACAACTCCCAGTAACGTCTGCCCAACAGTCTAATCACTAGACCACAGATGCCACTTGTAGTACAACACTACTACTATCTCCACCACTATAACCACTGCCAGTACCACTACTATTACTGTCCCACCTGGAATGCAAAGTGCGGCCGATTTTGCAACTACTGTTGTTATTTCTCTTCCTCCTACAACTGGGGTCACCTCAGCCACTGCCAGTGCAACAACTACTACTTTTTACTACTCTACTACTGCACCACCTCTTCTTCTGCTGCTACTAAGTACTACTACTACTAACTACTACTAACTACCACTACTACTAACTACCACTACTACTAACTTCTACTAACTATCACTAATACTAACTACTACTAACTATCACTAATACTAACTACTACTAACTACCACTACTACTAACTATTACTAACTACTACTAACTACCACTACTGCTAACTACTACTACTACTACTAACTACTACTACTAACTACCGCTACTACTAACTACTACTACTAACTACTACTAACTACTACTACTACTGCTGCTACTACTACTGCCGCTACTACTGCTACTGCTACTGCTACTACTACTACTGCTACTACTACAGCTACTACTACTGCTGCTACTATTACCTCCACAACCCAAGCCACCACCATTGCTACTACTGTTACTACTATAACCACTGCTACTACCACAAACACCACCGCTAACACTGCTTCCTCTACATACGTTTACCTGCTTCAGTACTGTCAGGGTCTGTTGTTCCAGCAGCCGGTCTAGAACAATGTTCCTCTACCAACTGGCTGCTAAACAGGTCTAAGATGGTCTGCTGATCCTTGCTCTGAATTGTGTAGATTAAAAATAATACAGTTTACTACAACAATATGAGACACTGGGGTGCAATTGACTGGTCAGTCAGATGTGGACACAATCAATCACATGTTTGCATGTAGTATATTCTAGCTAATGAGAAATGGGGGAGTCACACTTGTGCATTACCTCCTTCAATATGGCAAATAAGGATGAGAGAACTTAAGAAGTTATTCTGACACAGATCCAGAACTTTTGCCAAGACATGACAGTACAAGCTCAAGGGATGATAAGCGATAAGGGACCCAGTCAGGATAACACCTTGAGCAAAAAATTCTTGTGAAAGACCCCCCCCCCCCAAAAAAAAATCACCTAAAAACAAGAGAAGTAAATGTAAACCTAAGACTTTCTAATCTTTTAATAGTGTATATTTTTATAGTGCATATCAGAACCCTGTGTCATATGTGTGAAATGGGGAAGTGGATAGGGGAATCAAGACTTTAAACAGCTGACAAAATGTTCAGGAGAAGGGCGAAGATCAATTTTAAGTCAAATCAGTATGGATGACTCTTAGAAAGGCTTTGAATCCTACATACCTCTAACCGCTTAGTGTCAGCATCAGAAAAATCATCCTTTGTCAAACCTGCTTTGCTCAACACATCAAGCTTGCCTTGAATCAGAGGCCTGGAAAGATTTTAAAACTCGTCTTTTTATACTCCATAATCTAGAAATAATTCAAAGGGGTCAAAATGAAGGACTAATTACAAGATAGAAGCAAAACCCCAAAATTAAATTTGTCAGACCAGCTCACAGTGGTCACTCAATATCACAGAGAAAGTGACCCTTATAGACTAGTGGCCTCTATGGAAAGGGTATAAGTTACTGTGACTTACTAGACTTAAGGTGCTCATTTGACCTTATGAAGTTGCGAGCATTGTAAAACTCTTACCAAACTTACCAGATTTAACAAGTCAACAGATGGTTTAAAATTCCAAATCTTAATTTCATCTTCCCTTTCATTTCCATCACAATTGTTATCTATTATAAGAGCTTCTTTGTATTGATTGAACACATACGCTCAGTCTGAGGAGAGATTGTTTTGTTTTAGTAGAGGTTTTACGACACTTGCAACTGCATAAAGTCATAAGAGCGCCAGAAGATCAGAGGTGTTACAAGATAGTAACAAACATAAAAAAGGAGGGGAGATAAGGACGATAGATGTTTGATAGGAAAGAAGAAGCAACTCACACCAGAGCACCCGTCAACCACCCACGAGGAGAGATTAGAGAAAAACTTTTGTAGTAAGTGACCCTTGTAATGGAACAGTGGCTGTTAGTACAGGTGACACTTATGAAGAGGTGACCACTGATGCAGGTTCAACTATAATCTGAAACAACAAAACATCTTCACTGTTACAGTGTTTGAACATTTTGGTCTATGTACACAAAATCATTAAGACATTAAAGAAAAATTTCACCATTGGCACAATTCAAGCTTTGTAATTGTTCTTTTGGTAACACTTGGCACCTGACACCAAGGCCAGCTGAACTTTTTCTTAAAAAACTTCGTCAAATACCGAAATGGTTTAGTGAATAAGACGACAATATTTCTCAACCAAACTTACCAGATCTCATCATCAGCTGTGCCTCTGGCCACTAGATACTGGACACTCACAGAATCCTTCTGACCAATACGGTGAACTCTGTCTTCTGCTTGCACAAGAATCTGCAAATAGATTGAGGATAACTTACAGTCATAAGTGTTAAAATGCCCCCCCCCCCCCCCCCGCCAAAAAAAAAAAAAAATCCATCTAAGTCAAATAACCAGAACAAAAAACAACAACTACTTAGAAAACCCAGCTAAAAATAAAATCAGATAAAAAAAACCAAACCCACCTGCCAGCCATACCAATAAATCTCCAACCCTCAAACAAGAATTATAACAAGCATTGTAAACAAAACCTGTTGGAGTGCAAGAAGTATTCAATCATGTATTTCATACTGGCTTAGTTACCAAACTTCTGATTAAATTCATAGGACATATTAAGAGTATGCCAACTTCTAAAAAAAAGTAATGTTTTCATCAACCTACAATAGATTCTTTTTAAATGAAAGACAAAAAAGATCACAAATCTTTACATAAAGTACTCCACAAAGAGTGCTCACTCCTAAAACTTCCAGATTGTATCATGACCATGGTTCAGAGAGGAGTAACTGAAGAAGAAAATACAGGCCTTTGCTATTTTAAGGTACATACCACACTGCAAAAACAGAAAATGAAAACAAGCCTGAAAACCCTCAATATCGTAATAAAATTGAACGACTGATAAATATAACCTAAAAAAGAACACTCAACTTACACCAGGATTCCAAAACAATTCTGCAAATAGCACTGTACTGGCAGCAGAAAGATTGAGACCAGCATTTGCAGCAGTGATTGACAAAATGGCCACTTGGTATTCCGGGCAAGTTTGAAACTTTCTACAGAAATAGTTCCTCTGTTCTGATGTTGTGTGTCCATCTATCCGAATATACTTTATTTCAGAGGCCTGAAAAAGAAAAGTAGTCTAAATCAGCCTATGCATGAGTATGAACAATATCCTTTATCTATAAATAAAATCTCCTTCTAAATGACATGACAGCCCTTCCATTCAAAACATGTTTTAAAAAAAGCAGTTCTGATAGAGACCATAAAAAAATAACTCGCCATGAGGTAGCATCTAAGCCCATTAAGTGGTCATTCGGAAGTCCCAAGATCGGATCCTGCAAGTACCCTAGAAAACTTTCCAAGCTTCTCAGATACTGGCTCAGCAATACAGGGAATGGATGTTATCCATAGGTATTGTCCCCAAAATAATTTGTGTATGATTTTAAAAAGGACACTGAATGAAAATAAAAATTAACAAAAAACAAACAAAAATAAAGAAAATAATGTTTTCCCCTACATTCATTTTTGTGTTGTGTTTCACATTTCCTGATTCTCCCAAGGATGTAGAGAATGTAGAGAAAATATGTTCTTCCACATAAAATTAATTGTAAAGTGCATAGTCTATCAGTCATAGTTTATTTTCTTTTGAGGGATACATACAACACAGTGGCCACCAATAATTACACAACCATAAAAAGGAGAAGATTGAGATATTTAAGACATGTTTTGAGAATGCCAGAGACAAGATTGCTCTATCAGACATGGTATTGGAGACCAAGTGGAAAAGAAAAAGAGGTAAACCAACAGGAAGTTATAGAGGCACAAACAGACCACAATGTGCCAAGATTGGAGGAGGTCACCAGGGACAGGCAAGCATGATACCAATTGCTCTCTGCCTTATGTAACTGATGGCATGGGGAGAGAGTAAGTAATTAAGTAATTATTTCTAAAAACCTTTGACTTGATGCAATCCTCAATACAATCCAGCATCTCTTTGTGGTGCCCAAAGACAAGAAACTTCCGATCAGACTCAATGAAGTCCAGAACATAGTCTCTGTAATACAGCAAAGGAAAATGTGAGCAAAACAAGGAGTACAAATAGATGTGCGTGTAATTTGAGTGTTCATGAGTGTGGGTATTTGTCATAGTCATATTTTATTCTCAATGTACACTGACCAGAGTTGGTTCAGTCTTAGGAGGAATTCAGTTAAATTTTTTCTCAGACATTCAGCCATTACAGACACGATGCTTCTTTGGCTTTGAACTGACCAGTAAATCTGTGTAAAGTGTACACAGGGATTCATTCTGAGTTTGCTTTTGTCCCCCCTCTGATACTGAAAGACTAATAACTTGTTCTCAATCACTCTGGCATCAAGGAAGTGAAAATCTTGGGAAAAAGCTCAAAAGTCATGACATTGACCAAGCTGGCTAGACAAATGACCAAATTACACATACCTGACAGCAGCCAGTTTGGCTTTGCAAGTCTCGTTGAAATAATGAAGCAGCACTCCTTGTCTATCCATTCCCTTGAGAGATTTTTTGCTCATTGCACCAGAAAAATGCTTTAAACTTTTGTGAATTTTGATTCTTCCTGGTTCAAGTATCACCACCTGGCGTGTTTTGGTCGGAAGTTGTGAAAGGACTTCCTGCTTCAGTCGCCTTTTAAATCGAGAAGAGAAAAAGTTGAGAATGTTTTAAAAAAACTGTTTAACATAATGACAGACAACATGAGAAAATCAAAAAGGTAACAAGGAGGAAATGAAACGTTCTTATATGATTTTTGAAGTCTCATTTATTAGATATCTATCATCAGGCAAGTAACAAATCCCAAGGACAGAGCAAAGGACTCATATGCCTATTAAAATCAAGATGTCTAACTGGGTCATTGATGAACCCAAACAACACTTAAGACAAATATTACCACAATATCTCACCCACAGCAAAACTCTAGGGAAAAAGTGCAGTACAAAAAATAGAACCAAAGTCACAATTTCCTCAAGTTAAAATTAAGCTATAAAAATGAATCATTTAGTCAACTTTCAATTTAAATAAAACAAAAAGAGAACATGTCATTGGCCGGTTGGATTGCAGAGGAGTGTAACTTACCGGATCATGATGAATTCTGACAAGATGATCTGAAGCTCTTCCATGTTTGAAGACCCAGAGTAATCCCAACCCCAGGGCAACTGAGGAGAAAAGGTACTTTGGTCAGGAATTGAACATGCATTCAGATCAAAAGCAAAGGGATAGGATTGAAGAACTTGCAAAGAGCAAACCAAGATGAAACAACATCTGCTACACTAATTTCTTTTCACTCAGTATAGCAAATCAATAAAGTAATAGCAATGTAAAAAAAGTTATTAAAGACATGGTGAGCTAATCACATTTAAAACCCGTGAAAAAAACAGACAAGCATCCTTCCAATCACTGCACACAAAACTCCCTCACACATAAAGTTTCCACAACATGAAACACACCCCAATTCTTTTCCCTTGCAGTGAAAGTTTCCCTTCTAAAAGCCCTGAGAAAGTCAACAGTGACATGGTGAAAGGTTGCATGCTAGGCTGCAAAATTAATAAGCCTGGATCAAATGGGTGTAGGGGCATAAAGATTTTATCAATACCATTTATTCAAAATCTGAAGGTATGAATACACATAAAGGGCTAACTGGTATTCACAGACGAAATGTATATATACAGTCAATCTACTCTAATCGCCACCTGTCCAAGACAATCATCTGTACAAATGACTACCGCCCACTTCCCCCCAATGTTTGTTTCTTTTTCATTCATAAAAACATTATGCAAGAAGCCCACATGTCTTAGAGAACCACTTTCCTCCCCGACAATAGGTAGCAGTCATGGACAATTTTTAATGTAGCTTGCAATGCAAATGATGTTTTCAAAGAATAGAAACAGTGAGATAAAAATAATTGACTTGAAACCTGTTTTGCATTGCAGTATCTCAGTCCAAAGTCATGAAATTGAAATATCTTTGAGTTGACAGCAGAGATCTGTGAGAAAAGTTCCATGGGCCTGGACAAAGCTGGTGTACCAGACAGAAGAATCACCCGTTTTGCTTTCTGAAGAAGAAAAGTCAAAGACAATAAAAGGATAATACACACTCCCGCTAATAAGACTTACCCCCACCCCCTCAACCCCCCCCCTTCCCCCAATCTCTCTCAAAATGCAACTTCAAGAAACTCCTCATCAAAGTATACTTATGAATAACAGGGTGACAAACAAAACAAATCTTGGTAGTAAATCACTTTATCTTCATATATGAAAGTATTGAAGAAAAACAAGAGAAAAAAAAACCTGTACAAAAGTAACAGAATGACAAAACTGATTCCTACATAAACTTGAAACAGGTTTACCTTAAGGGGAGACGTACACTCCCAGAAAAATTTTCTAAACGAATGACTTTTATTCAATTTCAAGTAATTGTGCAAGAAGTTCATAGGTAAATAGGATGTACTAGGGTGAATTTGTTGGATTTTTCTTTAAAAATGGGTCTCTGTGGCGGCTATCTTGGATTTTCAAACCAGTTTCTTAGTGCAGAAGAATTTCATAGTAAATATTGAATTATCAGCCTGAAATTTGGCACACAAGTACAAACCTATATGAACTGGGGATCTATGAAAGGATTTTGACCTATCTTTAAAACTAAAAAAGTGAGCCCAAAGTCAGAGGACCCCCTAGAGTCAGTTGACGAAATTTCGGGGTACATTTTACAAAAAAATTTAATATTTCCCAATTCCCTTTCATAGATCCCCAGAATCGATCTTAAAGCATCTGTACACGAAATTTGAAGCTTCTAGCTTCTGTAGTTTTTGAAAACTCCTTGCACCCAGGAGGTCACATATACATATGTCAAAAAGTAGGTTTTGAGAAAAACAGAAAAAACAGGGATTTTTAAAAGAATTTTTAAAGCAATTTGCACTTTTCAAACGCCCTTTTAGGTCATTTAGGGTGTTTTTTCAACAGTTTCTTCATTTTGACTGGATAAAACAGATGTCAAAGGATGTCTTTCCGCGAAAAACAAAAGTTGGATAGTTTGAAAATTTTTATCGATACTGCCTTGGATCGTCGACCCGGGTCTTCCCTTAACTCAAATGTTTACAGTGTTGAAAATTACATCTCTCTATCAATCTCAAAGTAAAATTTTCATTTTACATAAGATAAGAAAATGTAAACATTTCGTGATGCAATATTTCCTGTTAAATAATAATGACAACCTTCAATAATGGCAAAGCAGCTTTTGTCCTGACAGCCTTGCAGTTTTTCAGGAAATGACATTCGTCCTGTATAGAAGTACAAAATGTGTAAACTTTGAGAAAAAGAAAGCAACAATTCAGTTATGCATTTTTTTCTTTCAGTTATTAACACGAAAACACTGACAATAAATAATTACACAGATTTCTTAAAAGATGTTCATGATGTCCTTTGTACATAGACTACCATCTGATAGTTAAAGAAAAAAATGAAAACAACAAAATTATTACCCATTATCAAAAGAAGGAGAAAATAAAGGTGATTCTATTAAAAAAACAACAAACAAAAACAACAAGAGATAACAAAGATCAAATGACTTCTATCAGCATCAAGATTAAATTCAAAGATAGATTACCACAGATAAGAATCATGAATAAGGCACAAAGCACCAAAACCATTTAAGTATTAACCTAACAAAATTACAAACTGAAAAATAATAGTATCCTGAAAAAAATACAGTAAAAATACTGACCATAATTATCACTTGAAAGTTCTTTTTCTTCAGCACAACTTGTTGTTTAGACAGAAGATCATAACTGATCACATTAACCAGTCCTTCTGTTGGGTCGCCCTTTCCTGAATCCACAACATTTACATCAGCTGGAGAAACACTGGGCAACCACTTGCAGATTTGCTAAATACAATAAAAAGAGCAAAAACAACAATGATTAATTAACATTATAACCATGAGCAAAAATAAAAAGTAACAATAAAAATCATAATCATTACCATTACTAATAGGTAGTCATAATAAAATTGATACTGTTACTACAACTCTTGCTACTACCAGCTAGCAGATCTTATTAAAGGTTTTACACAGTTAGAAACTTTATGGACAAAAAATTGCCTCTCTCCAATTTCTGAGAGAAACCAGATTAATATAAATTTGGCAAACATTGTTTGATAACCACAGTTTAAAGATGTAGATTTTCCACCTTCAGATAGCCTTTACTTTCGTAGGAATTAAACAACACATCAGTCCTGCAACAAGGGAAAAATTTATCACGATTTACTCCTGTGCTCAAACGTAATATTATTTTTGGCAATAGTCTCAACTAAGACAGCATCATCTGTACAAAGACAGCATAAGACTTCGTTTTTTAAAAACTAACAAGCAACTGAGGTCTATTCACACACAATATATCATGCAACACATGCTCTGACCCTATTCCATTACCTGAGCCCAGTCAAACCGAACCGACGATGGAGACACAATTAGCAGCGGCCACTCTTGCCTGTAGTACCTTGCAATGCAGATGGCCTGAAGAGTTTTTCCCAGTCCCATGTCATCAGCTATTAAAATGCGGCCATCCCGTTGGATGGATGTTCTGAAAAGGGAAATAAAGGTCAGTTGTGTAGGTACACAGAGAACATCTAAATAAATATCACAAGCAAAAAGTTTCTTTACAGAAATTTACAATGCTAGGACAAAAGCCTGAAAATTCATAGTAGAGTAATTTTAGAAATGGCCAGCCTAAAAGATATTTATGAAAATGAAATTTCAAAAATTTGAATCCTATTTTTCCATCACAATTTATCTAGGTTATGTATCTATGGGCAATTAGCCCAAAGGATAAAACTGAGCTTGAGACTTTTAAAAAAAGCAAAACTGTTCCGCAAATTTTTTAATTTTTTTTTTGCTTTGGTGTTTTACGGCGCTCGCAACTGCATAAGGTCACATGAACGCGCGGGACACTTCAAACATTTTCAGTTGGTAGCCTACACTTATCGATTCTGGACCACCAATGGATCTTTAATGGGCACAACTTGCACACGGGACCTCCAAGATTTGTCATCCATGTCTGAAAAGGCTCAGTGTAGATCTTACCTACTGTAAGATGAAGGGTGTGGCTGAAAGACAGCAGTAAGAAGGAGCCAAGGGGAAGCAGTAGAAAGGCTGCAGAAAGACTTAGGAGCCCAGAGGAGGGAGTAAAGGAGGTGAAAGCTTGGGGACGAAAGCAGACGACAGAACATAGTTAGAGAGCAGAAAAAGGATGTGAAAGGAGAACATTTTTTGAGAAAATTTTTTTTTCCGTCGCTATCCAAATCCGAGCCCGGGACAAATTGAATGAGAGGCGAACTCCTTAACCTCTAGGCCACGAGAGCCCCCTGCAAATTGGTGTTTCAATATCCCACATAAAGATTCAAGAGAATGAAAAGGCAACGCCCACTTTTTTCCCTCATCTAGGTAGTTCACATCAAGAAGGCATACATATGCACCCAATTCTTCAGTTCTATTTCTGTTCACAAAAAAGGGCCCTCACATCACTCCTTCCCGCTGAAAAGGCATTAGAGTGTTGACCAGCTTCTCATCCACAATGCTCAAGTCTGGTTCCGCCTTTGGTTTGCTCTTTGCCAGGGAACTCAGTAAACTTGGAATGGAATGATGAAAGCGGCCTATTGAAACCTCTGGTGACAGTTCTGTTACTTGGCTCACTTTGAAAATACAAAAAAGAAGCAGGAGAGTATAAATAGTTACGTCAGTGACATTTTTAAAACACAGTAGTGTTTTTGGAGTCTAAGAAATCACCCAGAAGCTTTGCATAAGATGCAACAATTGCAAAAATAAAAGTAAAAAATTGCCATCCATGCTATATCCACCATTTTCCTATGAGAATACAGAAAGCTATATTTGCCAGGCTGACATTTCTATTTCTAATATCTCAGTTGGCAGAGTGACTTTGACAGTCTAAACTAAGAGAACTCATAAGTTCATTATAGATGTTGGTTTAAAAAATAGCGGTGCGACAGGACATTAAGTCTATAGGTACTACAATCATGCTTTTTTCATCCTTGTAATTATCCCGTAAGGCAGTCATCTAAACATGTTTAAATCTCCAAAGTCATGTAAATGTGTCAATTAGAAAATGAAAGAACAAGGAAGACAAACCATAAAAAAGTCAAACAAACCTGAGAATAACTAAATATGTTAGCAACCTTTTTCATTTTGTGTTTGCCTTGTATGTGCATTTGAACAAAAAATAGGAGAGAATAACCATGGTAAATGTATGGCCCATCAAATATAATTTTTAAAATTGTAAAAATATCAAAGGAACAGGGAGCAAAAAGAAAACAATCTACTTACTCAGCTCCTCATAATCATTTAGAGAGAAGGACCAGGTCTTTGAACTTGTGTCTGAAGAGGCAGGTGGAAAAAAAAATGACTTTCTTTTTTTTTTCTAAAAAGCAACACACACAAATAAACCAACTTCATTGGACATAATAATAATAATAGATCAGATACCATTTGTAAATAGCAAATGCCCGCTCAACAGCAAGGTTTTTGTGCTTTACAGTCTATTCTATTATCCTTTCAGACCTGATAACATGCTAAATCACATTCTATTTATTGGTCAAGTAGGCCTAAACATGTGCAGCCAGAAAAAAAATTTGCTTAGAGGGAAAAACAGAAGAGATTATAGATAGATAACTGCAAGTCACTAGTGACGGGGGACAAAAATATATCTGTCTTTATCTGCTAAATTGAAGAAAGAATTTCTGTAATGCAAGGTAAAAAAGTCATAGAATTATTTTTAATCGTTTAATTAGAGTACACAAGGGCAGTCTTAATCCTTAATTCAAACCTAATTCTGTCATAAAATGGTATTCTATGATTTCAAATAGAAGTAAATTTAAGAACATTTATGAAAACTCTGGTACATGTATCGTTTGAACACTCACTCACCATAGGCTTTTGATTTTATTCGTTTGAAGATTTCAATAAGCTGAGCATGATACCCAATATCTACTTTGAATCTGTCTTTTGACACGAGAACACATTTTCCTCTCACGGTCTGCTGACTCTGAGCTCCATAGAACTGATCTGTGGGAACTTTTACTTGAGGCAGGCTTTTTACTGGTGCTTGGGAAAGAGTTGCTTTCGAACCAAGTTTGAAAGAACTTTGTACTTTAGAGTTTATTAATTGCTTTTGGTGGGATGAATTTGCAGATGCCATTGCATTCCCACTGAAAGACTTTGTTGGGTGTTGTGCAGAGGGCTTGTGAGTGATGGATGGTAAAGAAGTGGCACTACTGGATTTTGCAGCTGGTATCTTGGATACTGAAGTACCATGGTTGGTACTTTGGATATGACCTGATGTTGACCTCTGAGGTGAAGAAAACTGATGATTCTGATGTTTCGTTCGTTCAGCAAGTTTTTCCAGGGCCTTTCTTTTGTTTTCTTCAATTCTTCTCTTCTGGTCTGCAGTTAAAGAAGATGAGTTGCTCATTTTGTTGAGTAGAGAGAGAAGAAACAGGGTTCCTTGAGGTATCTTCTAAAGCCTTAGCATTGTTCTCCAGATAGTCTGCAAAAGTCGAGAGCCAAAAACGAAAAAGGTGAGTGTCAAGTGAATTATCTGAGCCACTAATGATGAAAATCAAAGCAGATTCTGTTCGATATACTATCGCCAGAGAACATGCTAGAAAGTATTTCTTGAGACCTGCTATAAGCCTTCACTTCTATCATTATAACTTTTTCACCCTTCATATACGATACACAAAAGGGTAACCTGTCTCAGGTAATAGGTCTGCAGTTGATCAAGATCAAGTGCTGAAACTAGATTCTAGATTTTAAGATCTAAACTAACACTACTGTGATGACAGAGATAAGAAAAAGATGTGTTTCAAAATAATAATTCAGGTACAATTTGTAATTAACATGTAGCAATGCAGTGACATGTTCCAAGTGAAAGACTTAAATTATTGATGTAAAAGAGCACTGCTATCAACACAAGCAGGCAGGTAACTTATAGTGAAGTGCGGTAAAAAATTTGTGGTGCAACTTATCCTCAAACATTTCTTTAATGGGTGAATCAAAGTCATCCATACTTTGTGCGGCAGTTGGTATTAATATGTCTTTAAAATCATATTTTCCCACAACAACTGAGGCTAGATTAAAAAAACATTTCTTATTTTATATACAATATAAATGTTTGTCATGCAGAAAATGGGATTGTTCACAGCACTTCCCACTTCTCACACACACATTTTGCATGACGATACGAATGGCCTACATCACAGCTCACAATGCCACTTTTTAGTTGCAAAACTTTGTTTCAAGAAATTTGTTTTACAGTGAACATACGTATTTTTGCATGAAAGGTTCTCAACATGACTGCAATAAAGACAGTGTCACGATTCTTTTAAAATGACGGACTTGCTTTTAAAAATGATATTGCGGCATGCCCCAGCTGTAAACCTTTTAAAATATGTAGAAACTACCCACTACTAGATTGAATCAACTTAACTTTAAAAAAAAGTAGGCTAATCAAATTTTTGCTTTTAAATTTCCAGTTGCAACCTGCAAAAATAAAAGTTGAAGTATGGGTATTGGTGGGTATATATTCTTTTACTTTCCCTCCCATCTCACACTTAGCTACCATCTACATTTATTTATATTTTATAGAGATGAGCTGAACATGAATCTATATCAACTTTATTTCCGTTCCAAATTAGATCTAAGTTTCAAATTTTTGGGGATGGTTTTACCGTTTTTAATCGAGCTTTTATCACACTAGACCTAGATCTAAACTTTAAAGCCTAACTGCACAGTAGGCCCTTTTGGACTAATGGGGGGGGGGGGGGGGGGTTGGGGGTAGGGAGAACGAAAAAAGAAAGAGGAAAAACAGCCAGCCTCATATACATAATAATGCGCTGGCTTTCGTGTTTTACAACCACGACAGAAAGCACATAGTGTTATTATTTTATGTGATGTCTTCTGCAAACCAAAGGAGTAAAATAACATTAAAAGAGAAAGAAAGAAAAATAAGGGAAAAAAAGAAGAAGCTACACTAGCTTTGAACGTGGTGTTTGATAGAAGGCAAAAATTAACCAATACACTGGAGACTCCTTCATTCAATTTCTGATCCCAGATAAATAGGCGGCATTTACATGTCCTTAGGCTAGAAAGATGAAGCTCGTCGAAGAGAAGAGAAATTACATCCAGGAGGAAAACCAGCATGAATAGACATTTATTCAGAATGCAGATGGAAAGAAATATAATGTCAAAAGAAGCGATGAATGAAGATAAGAAAGCGAAACTACGGCGTAAAACTTTATAAAATAATTTTATTATTTGCACAGAGATTGAGATATTGGCAACATTAAAAAAGAAAGAATCTCTCTATCTATCTATCTATCTATCTATCTATCTATCTATCTATCTATCTATCTATC